TTGCTTTAACCTAAGGCTAATTGCTCTTCCGTTTCAATTTCAAAATTGATTTTTATTTATTTTTATCTGCGGCAAAGCTGTCTAATTATTATTGTTTAAATTCATATAGTAAAATCTAAATACATGCATAACTACTGGCTACCTAGTCACATACCGTATTATTGTTTGGGTGCAGTCACACCATGTCCATATCGTATGGCACACACCCCTGTTACCAGAATACGTGTAACCCCGTTACACAATGACGACAAGCAACAACGAGATTTAACTGACGAGAAAATGCTACATGTGGAGTTTCCCGCGCAAATGACGCTCGACTGGAAGAAGTGCCTAACCACCTCGAGATCGAGATGAGGCCAGAAGGCACGATGGTGCAGATGAATGCAGACTGAAAGATTGGAATACTTCTTTAGACACTAGTTATAACGTTAGAGCTGAGCTCGATGTATCAGTCGAAAATCTATGTTCGGTATTTGCCGCCGAAGTGTCGACGATCTCCGCAAGTTCCTCGTGAAACGGCGCATATGCAGCTCACGAAACAACACGGCTACCGGTGACAACATTATGACTACCTGCTTAAAATGAAGACCTAAGCATGCGCCTGCTATCTTTAGATCAAGGAAGACGATCGCTTGAGCTTTTCACCTAAGCACGACGTGATTGTTGAATTTATTGTGGCGCGAAGAAAGATGGATATCTATGAGGTGTAGGAGAAACTACGTCGCGAGTGCGACACGATCCAGAATCGTGAAAGCAGCAAAAAGTGTTTCTTCGCTAGTGTTGCCCGTGGTCAGTCACACAGCCACCGCGACGGATCTCCTGGTTGGCGCCATCTACCAGTAACCCGTGGTAAAAGCTTATGGCAAAATCGAAGTGGAGGCTCCAATAAAAGCGGTCATCAACATCGTGGCGACCGAGTTGGTAGTGGTTTCTCAGCCGTCGCTACGGCTGCAACGAAATCGGCCATAGCAAGAGCAATGTCCCAAAATGCAAAGTTATTGAAGCCATTTGTGCTCTTGGTATCTACCGATGTAGATTAGGGGAACAAATGGCTAGTTAACAGTGGAGCAAGCTCTTAAGGCTTTTGACAATGACGACTTCGGTACTGTCGCTCAGTTTGTAAAGGGTTTACACGTACCCTAGTAACAGGGATGTGTGTCAAACGAGATGGGCATGGTGTGACTGCACCCAAATAAGAATACGGCACGTGGTTGGGTAGCCAGTAGTTATGCATGTATTTAGATGTTACTATATATATTTAGGAAGATCTATACATTTAAAAATTAGGCGGCTTTGCCGCAGGTAAAACAAATACATACAATCAACATTTTAAAGAGAAGAGCTTGTTAGCCGTGGGTTAAGGTTCTAACTACTCTTGGAGGTAGCGGATTGCGATCCGCTACACTTGTACTGGTTCTTATGAAGAACGTAAGGTCGGTGACCTAAATTACGCTCCCTCTAAGCGCAAAGCTACGGCAGCCCCGCTGCACAATTAGACACGGTAATGATATTCTTGTTGCTGGTGGGGGAGGCTTGCATGCATACGGCGTCGGCCCTGTCAGCCTTGCATTTGTGAACGGCAGCACTACACTCTTAGGGGACATTCACTACATTTTCGGTCTCAACCACAAGCAGCTCTTTTTATCCGCGCTCACACCGCGCAGCGACAAAGGCAAGTCCACAAATCACCACATTAGAGTTGTGACTGTCGTTAGAGAACGGTAGAAAAATATATTTGGCGAGTACCAATTACAAATTGAGACTCTTATTCGGCAGCTATGAATTACTCAAGCCTTTGGCACGCGCGCCGCTGCACTGCGCTGCGGAGGGAATTCCGCTGCTTCCGTCATACCGGTTTTGGAATTGTTTAGTTTGCGGTAAGATGACTGTTTCAAAGTTGACCAAGGCATCCAACAGCGTGTTCTTGATTGCGGCTCTTTTGGTGCGAATGTAATGGGATACACTTAGCCGTTACATGAAGGTACATCTATACCTTCTGTATGCAGTGTGGAATTTATGAAAAGAAAGTTACAGTACGGTGTTCTTAAGTGAATACGTGATTTTATGTATGAAGTCACAAGCATTCTGTGAGATACAGAATGCTGTGTCCTACTTGGGGATCTGTACTGGTGACAAGATCGAACTATCTATGTCTTTCGAAGTGGGTGGCATAAGCCGGTCACTTCTACAGGACAATTTTCACAAGCATTTCGAAGCTCAAGCTCCGTACACCTAACATCGTGTATAAGTTCAAGCTGAGGTTCAATCTCAGTACACCCTTAGTTTATAGATCGGAATTCAATGTGTTAGTAGTATAACCTCTAGGAGTCGTTAGGGGTTTTTTGCATGTACCTAAGAATCTTTAATTCACTTTAATTATGTTGCAAATTTGCCTTTAAGGCATCTAGTCGTTCTTCTTCCCTCCATCTGGATCCCTTCTTTGTCGCACAAGCGTGTGTGTTGTGTTGGAGGGACTGTTATAAACACCACCCTCTTACAGCGAATTATAGTGATTTCTTAAATTGACGCCAAGGACTCGTTACGTGTTAGTGTTTGTTGATAAATGGTTTCGATACATCAAGGTGTACCAGATCAAGCTTAAAGGTGAGCTTTCATTGAGTTTGACGGGTATAAATGCTCATGGAGTCCGTGTTCATAGCTGTAGGAACCGATGATGGTGGGGAATTGTGCGGCAAGAAAAGTAGACGAGTCTGTGCATGCGATGACAATTTTCAGACCATTGCCCCTATTTACACAGCAGGATGGATCCCGGAACGGACCAACTGCTTCATCGCTGACATGGCTCTTGCGAGGTTACATCATTAGCATTTGTCCAAGAAATGGTGAGGTGAGACAATTAAGACTTCTGTATACACCATCGACGGGCTCCAGAATTTTGCCCGCCATGACACAGCCCCAATCGAATTGTTGAAAAAAGCTAAGCCGTCTCTCATTACATGCGCGATTCTGGTTCGCGGGGGGTATGTAAATGTTGACAAGACCAAGCGGAAATAGCTCGACGCCAAAGCTCTTCGCTGTATTACGCGGAGGGCCCGAAGGCCTATCGGTTAGGGATTGCGACTCTCAGTCAACATAGTCCGGGGCATTCGATGATTGCAATATGGTCCTGCATGCACCGCCCAGCTTTTGACTCTTCAGTGGTCCCATAATTGACGACGACGAAGTTGTGCCTGCTCTCACAACAAAGACTATGATGTATCCAACAACCTACCAAAATGACTAGATGGGTCAATGAAATTGGCAACTCTACCACATCCACCTTCTCTTGAGACTAATTTGCTCCAGTCTTCCACTGATATTATGTAACGGATGTCACATTCTGACCAACCAATTCGGACCGCTTCTCCTTCACTCCACCCTGCTCCATAAGTACATACGATTGCCCATGATCAACTACCCACGAGATCGTCTCAGTTTAGCCAGGCGGTATAGCCGACTGGTGTTTGATGGTCATATCGTGTCGACACCAGCTGGATCGCATCCACTGCCAAATTCACCTGATTATTGCTGGCTCTGCCTCCAGCCGTAAGGGACCAGGTGGTCTAATAGGCTTATAGCGTCAAATACCATTTCGTCGCTCATGACGGCGATAGAGAATAAACTGAGTGTGAAAAGCAACGACTTCAGCTTACAGATAAATATGGGATTGCACCGACTTCGGGGGAGGTGTGCGTTGTCCTCAAAGTGTGACGATCATTGGGTTTATCGCAAGTAAGACCTAGAATAACATATCTTCGGCACAAGATATTACCCGGGTTTTTTATCTCCTCGAAAAGCTTGGAACCACACATCTCCCAGCCAATGTCGTAAATTTAGCAATCAGGCGGCGACAGACATGGTCACCTTTCCTTTCCTTCATCAGCGTGTAAGGAATTATTCTCTGCGAGATCTTCTGTATATTTGCTGTAGTTTGCAACTATGCTTATAACGGATAGATGGCCTCAATGCCCTGGACAAGGATAAAGCTCCAAGAATGGGATATCCATAAGCATTCCTTGAATGAGAGTGTAAATTTCGTTGTTACTAAAGTGGATTTTCCAACAACTAGTGACTTCTGAAAAGTAATGCTTCACATTTCATACACTAGCGATTATGATAACAGCAGACTTTTCATACGTCAGCGGTAGACAATAACCACTGACAATTTGACCTTGAATCTTTGTTATCCAGAGCACATCCCAATATAAATGCAACTCCGAGTATTCATGACGGTCCTAACTCACAATCATCACGACGATTTCATATGCGCAAGAGTGCTTACCAGTTCGTACATTTTGTATAACCAATATGCAGCGGGCTGCCGCGTTGAGTAATCTAAGCTAAGGTCACCGACCTTGCGTTCTTTACAAATGTAGCGAATCGCAATCCGCTACCTCCAAAGTACTTAAAACCTCAACCAAGGTAGAGACGCTCTTCCGTTGAAAATTGAGACTGTAATTAATTGTTTTAGTTGTGGCAGAGTCGCCAATATCTAAAATCTTAGGTTGTCCTAGCTAATAAAGTAATATACATTACTACTGACAACCCTGCCACATAGTGGCTTCTTTTTACGGTGAAGCCACACCATTGTGTGATAACACCAAATTGTGTTCTAACACCCATGTACGGTCACACCGTCTTGTGTGATCCGCCCATTCATACAAGGGTACGTGTCACCCCGTTACATCCACACTCACAGTCAGCACGACGATTTCATGTGCGCATAAGTGCTTACCTATTTGTACATCTTGTGTTTCCAATACATAGAGCTCACCAAGTCGAACGTCATATTGAGATGTGGACCACAAATAGAGTCTCAATTGTCAGACGCACACTCAAATCTAACAATTTGGTCATCCGAGCGAAACGCTGGCAGAAACGTTTGATTGCGCAAATTTCATTATTCCCTTGCTAACAAATGCTTTCGACTGAGAGGTGGACTGTGAAGAAGCGATGTGCGACGTTTGTGCTGACGCTTTTGGAAGTGACAACGGAAGCGCGATTCGAGCTGGCGTCGTTATACACCCTCAAGTCCGGCTACCCGAATCTTTTCGAAACTCGTCTTCATTGTTCCCTGCTTACAAATATTGCACATACATTGCTGCAGTAACCGACCTCCGGGCTGCACCTGTGCGATGAAGAAGGCGTGCTGCATGTTTTTTTTTGCAGGCACCCACATTTTCCGCACTTCTGTACAATCTCCACTCATGATGAGTCGATCAAAATTCTTCAGGTTATAAACACGCTGCTTTTGGTTCCATCTTGGCAGCTTTGGTATTTGTCATTCGCCCATATATTCGACTCCTGTTTACAACTGCAAAATCTATCGGCAATTGAATGTGGCCTCAGAAGCCTTAGAACAGCATACAAAAACATTCTTCTTCTACGTTCCGACACTATCAGTGATCATCTCGAACAATATCAGTACAACTCCGTAGTTTTAAAAAGATATTGTACAATATGAGCTTTCAACAATAGGCTTGTCTTTTACTTGATAATTATTTTATTTATCATTACATTTTGGTCTCGTTATTGTAAATATTCAATCAATCACGACGGAAATATGGAAACCCTGATGCAAGTGATGGCTGCTAAGAAGCGCGAGATGTCCTTAATCAGCGAGAAAAAGCTCAGTAAAACTAAAAAATATCTGAGTCGTGCTGAGGTTGAGTCTCTACTCGAAGAGAATGAGAAAGCGCTGGAACCACCGATGAAAAAAACCAAAACAAGTGAAGAAAGAGGACAAATGTCATCAAATAATGAACGAATGGACGATGTAGCCGCCAATTCTGTTGAAGATACGAATGAGAATGATACATTACGTGAGTCTGTATTATCGTGGCCCGATCTCCGTCGACGGCTACGCGAATTGGGCGAGCCCATTACACTTTTCGGTGAGAATTTAACCGATCGCATGGCAAGACTTCGTCGAGTTGAAATTGACTTTGTCACGAAGCACGATGATGGTTTGGGAGCAGGTCACGGTATTCGTAATCGCTTCGTTAGTGGAGATGATGAAGAACAAAAGGATTCAGTGGACGATGCAGCGGAAGATGCTGAGGAATTTGAGGTTGAAAAGGGTAAAAAGAAGCAAGAAGACGATCTTGAAGACGAGAAAGATGCTGATAAAATTGTGTATCGGTTCTTTAAAGGCATGTTGCAAAATTGGGAAAAAGATTTAGCCAATCGACCAGCACATGTAAAGCGAACAGCGCAAGGGAAAGTAGCAGTGAAGACGATGAAGCAGTGCAAAGACTACATTCGACCTCTTTTTAAGCTATGCAAACATCGTCAAGTACCAGCAGATATTTTACCAAACTTGGTCGATATTGTCACATTCTGTCGTCAAGGCGAGTTTGTGCAAGCGAATGATGCGTATATTAAATTGGCAATTGGAAATGCAGCGTGGCCGATTGGAGTAACAATGGTTGGGATTCACGAACGTACTGGTCGAGAGAAAATTAATTCAAACAAACAGGCGCATGTTATGAACAACGAGTTACAGCGAAAATATCTAACTTCAGTTAAACGTCTGATTTCGTATGCCCAATCCATTTCAAATGTCCAACCGTCAAAGCGCGTGATGTAGTCTAGACATTTGCTTACAGTCCCGATCAAATACATCGACATGCAAGAGTACAATTTGTTGTGTATTATGCGGCAAATCAACACATAAGTTTCTTAAAAGTGGCCACGCATGGGAGGACCTCGGCCACCACCGCGAAAATGTGGAGGTGGTCCACGCTGATAAAACATTTGATAATCGCGGTGAATAGCAGCTAACAATTCTGTCGTGAGTGAGCAGGCGATGCGAAAGCTGCGTTCATTTTCTGCAGATACTAAAACCATAAGTGGCTCGTCTACATCTTCTGGACCTCCTTCCTTGGACCCAGAACCCCGACCACGAACACGAATTTTGGCATTGCCACCGGCCTCAACACTAATACGTTTCATATTCGATCCAGCAGGTCCAATAATACGACGTGTAACTCCAAATTCGCTGTCGTTTTCAATACCCACAATTAGTTTTTCAAGAAATGCTGGCTCATTGGGGTCCTTGGGTCCATCTTGACTTGGTCGACCACCAGTCGTGCTCGTTCCTGGTTTACCACGAAAAAGGTCCGGACCCAATGGCGGTCCATTAAGTGGAAATGCAGCACCACTGCGCTCAGCAAAGATGTCAGCGAGCTGCTGAGTGATTTGTAACGACAGCGGACCAGCATCTAGTTTATTGTCTCCAAGTACTTGCTTGATCTGAGGGTCTGATATTGGCAAAGCGGGTGCGTTTAACATGACAGCAAAGCGAGCTTGAACCGGAAATGGCGACGACATGTTTGGTCCATGGCAAAATGCACCCGGCATCATGTTAACAAGAGCAGGAGAAATTGCTTCAAAAATACCTAAAAGATGTTGATCTGATAGATTCAGAAGGTATAGTGGGGTACCAGGACTCACGTGCTGCTGAGCAAGCGTGTCTTGTTCTAGCGGAAGGCCAAATAACATGCGACCGAAGCACTCGTCAATTGTCTGTGCAACGCATGTAAATACAAATCCAGGCTGAGTAACTTTCCATCGTGGTGGTGCAGATCCATTAAATCCAGGTCCAATAGGAGCCCCAAACAAACTTTCTGCAGCTTCTCGCCGCCGAGTCGCGAGCTCTTCAGCGCCACCCAAAAGCTTCATTTCATCTTCTACAGATCGATAATGAAGTTGAATTTGAGGCTGATTATACAGTAGTCGGACAAGTGAGTGTCCCGTATCTGAGTCTAGCTCGTGGCCATTTGGACTGTCACGAATTACAATCGACATTTATAAGAAATCAACTGATACATTTGTCAATACATACAATTCTTACCATTCTGGAACAGTAAGCAGCTTGTTTTCAAATTGAGCAAGTCGATCCCATGGACACTCACATATACGAAGCCACTCAATAGAAAATGCTCCCATCCACTTACATTTTCCATCTGCTTCGTATGGCACAACGTTCAATGCTAAATCTTCTCCAACTGACGTATCATAATCACCAATAGCCTCATTAACAACACGTGCTACACCTTGATAATGTTTGCTAGATCCGACCGTAAAGAATAAAAAGATCTCATACGATGCTTCAGCCGCCATTTTAATCTGCTGAGCTATTCCCGAGGGTACACTCCATTGCTGATAATGTACTGAATGTGCAAGATTCAAATAACTGGCTGACTGCACTAAAAAGTATTTGGCCATCTTTCCTTCATCCGGCAAAGGTGGACCAGAGATCACTTCACGAGCTTCATGAAATCCTCCAAATTGTCCTGATTTTCCTCCTCGTCCATCTTTTTCTTCTTTCTCACCTTTAGGAAATGGTCGAAGTTCCATATCTCCATGAGCAAAATGACATTCATCGCCAAAAGGACACGATCCGACTTTTTCCCAATGTTTACAAATTGCAATCTTAAAAAATTCATTTACTGGTTGTGCTTTTCGACGCTTCACATTTTCTTCATCTGCTACTTTCGATTGTAATGCAAAGTCGGCAGTCTCTGGACACTCTTCTCGAGCTAATTTAATATGTCGATAACGACAACTTGATCCATGAGAACAAAAACCTTGTTTGTAAAAAGCACATTCCACACGTTCTTCATCCGGGACGTGTCGAAATGGACATTCTGGGACTTGACATTCCATTCCCCAACGACATTCTGGCATCTTGGACATATCATATTGATGCAAGAACTCACAATTATCTCCTTTCATACATAATGCACGTAACCAATGACGACAGACTACTGTCCCTCGTTTAAAATCTTTTTTTACGGTTGTTTGACCAAATGTAGCACCACCAACACCCACGACAGCACCATGACGATGTTTTTGTAGATCAATACGTTCATCACCATCTTCAGTTAGTAAAACTTCAAAGTCGAACGCTAAACGTTGCTCTTCTTCATCGCGCAGTAAAAGTCCCAGCACCATCGTGTCGACTTTTTTTGAATGTTGACTATGCAAAAAGAAAGGTTGACTTTTTTCTTAAGATACCGGTAAATCAATGGTGATGAAAGAACTCAAGGAATGGCTCGATGAATGGCCTGCCGTACGTGAAGTAGTCGACGACTTGGTTTTAAGTCTTAAACGCAGGTTTGTGCTTGATATACTACAGATGATGTTTAAGTACTTACTTGTGGATATAGACAACTCCATGGATCGTATGAAACAGCCAAGATGACGACAAATGTATTATGCAAAGTGGTGCGTATATACGTCAATTAAATGTATAGTGTCGAATATGACGATTCATGTACATTAGCTTGAAACAGTTGAATGGTCAACAGCTGGAGAAATCTTGGAAAAGATTCGTCAACTTGGCTATATGCTCACTACTGCACATACACATGAATTAGTCATTGGCAATGTCGTACGTCGTGTATTATATATCATTCGTGAAGAGCATTTGAATGCTTTAAAGGTATTAGCACCGACTACTGGTACTAGCCCGCCAGCAACACATACTTTGGGTTTATCATCAAACCGGAATAATAATTTGTCGCGTTCGTTGGATACAATCTTAACGCCTGGAACGGATACTGATCTTTCAATTCCTATTACGGATCTTAAACTTGTACGTTGGATAAGTGACAAACGTAGCAATTTGGATTGTCATGACTTTTCTTTCGATTGTAGTCTGTTATGGAAGGAATTGCTGAACTTGTTGATGAGATTGAAAACTTACATGTTAATATTGCTGATCAAGCGATGGAATATATTCATACTGAGTACGTGATCCTGAAGATATTGATACATTGTTGCTAATGCTTAAACATTTTGTCAATACAGTGAAGTAATTTTGACGTTTGGCTTGTCATTATCAGTTGAAGCTTTTCTAAAGACAGCAGCAAAGAAACGGTCATTTAAAGTGATTGTTGTCGAATCTGCTCCTTCTTTAAATGGCCAGAATATGGCTCATGTATTGGCAGAGAGTGGCATACATGTGACGGTTATTCCGGACAGTGCAGTCTATGCTTTAATGGCACGTGTGAATAAAGTGGTCGTGCCTGCAGCTGCTGTGGTTGCTAATGGAGGTTTGATCGCACAATCTGGACTGCAAAATATTGCACTCGCTGCGAAAAAATGCTCCGTACCGGTTGTATGCGTGGCCGGTTTGATTAAATTGTCTCCACTCTATGCACACGACTTGGACGTTTTAAGCGAACTCTTAGCTCCATCGAGCATCTACAATTATGAAGATATTGTGGACAATGTATGGGTTGTGAATATCTGGTATATTGTAGTGGTAAACTTTCATGACATGTCTTTGTGTTTCATTGTCAGCTCGAGGTCTTGAATCCAGCGTATGATTATGTGCCACCTGAGTGTGTAATGCTTTTGATCACGAACACAGGAGCTCATCAGCCATCGTACATTTACCGTCTACTTGCTGAGTATTACTCGCCTCAGGATTATCAGCTAAGCTAACTTTATGATTTAATATGAGTAACGAGATTCTCTCTAGTCCAAAATCCAGCGTGCTTTATTCGGTTTCGTGCTGTATAGAAATGGATGCGTATGGTACATGCGCTGAATGACAGCCAATTGCTGCGAAACTAGCAGTCCTTCAGCAATCAAATCATCCAAATCTTCTTCAAAACGCTCTTGTTCTTCTTCTTGGAAAAGAGCACGATACGCTTCAAAGAGATCGCGTAATTGATGTAACAACAAAATGAGGAATCCTAGATCGCGAACACCCAAGACTACTTCCTCACTCGTTCCTGGACCACGATTTTGTTTGTTTAAAAGCCTTTCAATGTCGCGCAAATTGTTTCGTAGAAATCCAGCAATTTCGTTCGAATCGTAGAACAATCGGTCACTCAATCGCTTGTAAATCATATGAAAAGCTGTTGTGACTAACTTGTACAAGCCACCAAAGACAAGAAATGTTGGGATTGTAGCCATGATCTGCATATTCAGTTGATTCGCATGCATCAACTCATCGATCGCTCCCATGGCCACCATGAGCTCTTTTTTAATAAATTGCACTTGTATAAGCAGCATACGTACGATATCACCCGTCATCAAGTTTTTCACAGCTGAAGCAAGTTGTTTTTCATACTGCAACGAAACAACTGACATATCCATTTCAGTCATAATTCGCTGCATCTCTTCTCGTGATACTTTTGGATTTGTATCTTTAACAAAGTCTGACAACATACGTCGTAAACTCTCCTTTGTGTCCAGTAATGCCATAGCATCTTGAATTTGAGGCTTTTGATTTAAAACTACTTCTTCAAAAATTGCTTGTAATGGCTCGAGCATGTGTTCACGAAGAAAGTCTTGTAATGCTGCACGTGTCGCCACAATACCAGCATGAAATTCCTTTTGATTTGTCAATACCCAAAATCCACCAGCAGTAAGACAGATTGCAACAGCTGAAACTTGAAGCCAGCGTTGACGAATTTTTGATGGAGGACGGCAAGGTGCCATAGCCAGTTGAAAACACCGTAAATACTGAACTTGTGCTGTCTGAAATATCTTGAGATTCTTTTCAACGCGTTGTAAGGAACTCACAACGTCTTGAGTCGATATGATAGCGCGATTCTTGTCAAATATATTTTCATCTATTTCTTGTTAGTTTTCACGAAGGATAAAATCAACATTTAAGATACGTACCAAAGTGAAAGATTGTAAAAAGAAGCGGATCTTGCGACTTGAACGATCCATGACCTTTACGAGGTGGACAAATACCATTTGTATTGTATACAAACTCGACCAATGCCATGCCTTCTTTCATTCTCATTTCTAACTGTTCATAGTCGGAAAATGTACTCGCACATTTTGTTGTCATTTCCTTTAACATCCCAATTTTTTTCTACACATGACAACAAGACGCACTTTAATAATTCACTCTTTTCTCATGTTGTAATAACAAGATATCTTCGTACTAAATGTGCTTCCAGTGTCTCTCTCAAGCTTCGAATCTTTTCTTCAACTGTAATTTGTTGTGTACGCGATGAAATCCATTGTAAAGGTCCTCGTTGCAAAAATTCGCGCAATCTTCGTTTTTGAAGTTGTTTCCAGAACACAATTGCACGTGGTATAAAGTCAATTGTACGTACAATATTAATAAGTGCTGCATGTAGTTGATATGTTGTCACGTGTGTCCATAAAAGTCGTAATCCATGTTCAAATACTTCACGTTGTTCTTCTATATCGATCGAAAGTGTACTATCATTTGCGTACAATCGATTACGCTGAAGAAGATCATAGACGTCCATTAATGCTTTCGGGATCGCACATGCTGCACTAGAAGGTACGGGGACGCTATAACATTGTGACACAATGGATAGAGCACGTGCTAGTTCATTTGCATGTATTGAAGTACGACCAAGTGTTTGAAGATCAGAAATAATATTGAGAGTTATGGCTTCATGTGTCGTAGACGCCATCACTGCAGTCGTTTGGTCCATTTCGGATAAGTGAAATGATATGAGATTATTACAATAGATTTCAAGAAATTCACAAACCAATAAATGCAATAATTTTAAGAGCTCAAAAAAAACAATCACCGAGAATTGAATTTTGACATTTCCAGCGATCATTTGTTGACATGAAGTGGCTGATTCACTCGATCACGCAGCGCTGCTGCATATGTTACTTTATGACGTCGTACTGGCGCAGATGCAGGACGTGCTGATTGATTTCCAACAATCTTTGGCGAAAAATTGAGGTTTGAAATTCCTGTTGTCATCTATACACTGGATTATAAAAGCTCAAACAGTTTAAATTAGATAAAAATGCATGTCGTACGATGGCTTTAATATGCCGTAGCTTTGTCGGATCAGCTAGTATATTTCTTGGGAGTGAATATACTCTGACAATACAAAGAACATGATAAATCAAGCTAGTCAAATAATCAAAGTAGTTTCTTATACCGTTGACGTGACCCTAAAGCAGTTAATAGTCGTCCAGTGAAATTGTATAATTCGATACAATCATATCGCAGACTCTACATGACAGTTAAGATATCATTATGCATAGCATTACTTAGACGCTGGAATGCTGGCTCACCTCAAAAGTTTCGGTAGTTGTTTGTTGTGATTGTTGTAATTTTTTGTTAGCAGCTTTGAGCTCTTCAGTTTTGCTAGCTAACGTTTGTTCAAACTGATAGACAACAACAAATACAGTTAACATTTGTTCCGCACATGTTTCAAAAAACAATAAACCTGTTGCTGAATCAAAGTAATATCGTTCTCTTTCGATTGTTGCAATACTGCCATTCGATGGCGAAGGCTCTAAGTGTAGCATGTCAAAATTATAAGTACAAAAAATTTCAGTATCTCACCTTTTCAAGCTGCTTTTCACGATCTTGAAAGCTAAATACATCGTCGACTTGCGGATCGATTGGTGCTTGTTGGTTGGTACTTCTCTTACAATCTATCTGATGATTTCGACGAAGAAGAGTTTGCATTTCTTCACGATGTCGCGCTGCTTCCGACACCATGGCACGATCAAATTCATTCGATTTTTGACGTAATGAGCTTTCAAGAAATGCAATCCGTCGTTTCTGTTCGTTGATCGTACGACGTGCAATCTCTTTCTCCGACTTTGCTTCTGACTAAAAATCAAAGATCAAGTAACACAAACACTGACACATTGAAATTCCATTGCACTCACTACAATCACTGCGAAATTGGTTTTAGCATTGGCATATTTCTGTCGTAAGCGATTACTGTCGGCACTACCTTGAGTTTCTATTTGAGCATCATAAAGCGTCAATAACATAACTTCTTGACTTCTTGACAAGTGCTTAGATAACCTTCAGCGAGAAATGTGTGGCCAAATCCTGTGGTTTTGATTAAATTATCGGAGCTCAAATCTGCTTCTTGGCCTCTTTCTGATAAAATTGACTTAAACACCGAACCATTCTACAGATAGATGTTCGTTGTTAGCATAAACTAATAGAGCAACACTCTAATTCTTCGTAAAGGTCATGAACATACTGAAAACTTTACTTCGCCGTCGTCCGATATCTCTTGTGCTTGAAATCCAAGTTCTTTAAGCGTGGCAGTAAATTTAGTATTGTATTCACTTCGTATTCCCTCAAGTTGTCGACGCAAGACACTCAATTCTTCTTGAAGTCGACGAATACGTCGATCTTTGTCTACAATCGTACCAGTAATGTGATTCACACGAGGCTCCACATAAGAAATAACGATTACTACACTCAGTAAAATTTGATTGAACATTCTTTAAAAAAACTCACCTGGTTCTGCACTGATCGGCATCGATTTGCAAATTGAAGCGTTTCTAAGCAACCTTCATAGTGCTCTCTCATCGGATGAATGGTTGCTATGAGCGTTGTAATGCAGTTACCACCTTTACGAACACACGTGAGATTTACAACACTATAAAAGACAAATCTTAAACACCTTAGAACAGACCAATACTATTCTGTAAAAGACGAGTGAGTTTCGAATCTCGGTAAGGAATGTAGTTGTACCCGCTCTCTGGATCTAGTGACATCACAACCTTGCCGACAGCACTTAAGCTTGAATTGATATGTAATGCTTCTTTCAATCGTTGACCATCCGATTCGCTTTTTTTCAGACGTTCCGATCTGATTGAAATGATACACTTTAGCTTCATTCATATAACATTAACAATAAAGATACACAAACCCCGCAAGATCAACCATATTCAGCATCCCATAAATTACTTCGCTCGTATCCTGGACTAGAGAATAGATACATCGCGTAAGTAGTAAGCACAAAGAAGAAACACTACAATCAACAACCTCGTTGAAAGATATGGATGGTAAACACTGTGTGCGAGCGTGATGACACAGCATTCATTTTTGTTTCGTGCGTTGATCGCAATCGTAATCCACATTGTACAAGAGCATCCACCTCATCTTTAGAAGTCACAGTAACCATCGATAAATCTTTCACAAAAACTTGACCCTGCGCGTCCTCATGAATTTCAAAATTGGCTTTCAATGCATAGTCGTTAGAGATCTCGACTTGATAAGACACAAGAGTTAGATGTACCTTTTTCATAATCATAGTCTTCATCAAGTCTCAATGGGTTCGAGCCGACACTGTACCCAAACAAATATTCCTTACACGGCATTCAAAATCCATGATGAATTAAATTGTATCTTCAATACCTCGTCGTGCTGTCAGTCCGAGAAATATGATGTGACTGCTAATGTTACTTATATCATGAGTTAAAAAAGTGGTTTTCTACAAAAGTGGAGATCTTACTTGACGTAGAAACCATTCGGTACTGCTAGATGTCTGATACGACACTGGTCTACCTGTTTTCTTCAAATACCTGTCGTAATTGCACATGAGGTCTAAGTAAAACAAATCACTTAGCATGATAATACTTGCGCTCGTGCCAGATCTCGGACTCGATCGCAGTAAATTTCTAGAAAGCTGACAGCGAGAGTAACTTCCTTCTTAATTAAACAACAAAGCAGTAAGTAATCCCTTCGAAAATTCAGATTAACATCAATAAATTTGTGCGTATACCCTCGTTTTGTTTTGTTGACGGTTGATCATGCTAAAGAGATACTCAATTGACCGAGGCAAAAGTCCGACTTTCTCTCCTTCCGGTTCACCAAATATACTATTGCATCCTCGTTCGGTCAAATGCATTTCTAAAATTCTCAAAAAAGCGTCGATCTTTACCTAAAAGTCTTGCCTGAACCTGTTTGTCCGTATGCAAAGCAACAACTATTGATGCCATTGAATGCATAGTCGATTAAGCATTTGCTCGTCTGAAACGATAGTATAGATTAGAAAAAAAAAAATCAGATGCAGTAGTAAGTATCTGACAAAGTGCACGTATCAGCCCACCGCTTCAAACAGCGTCTCTTGAGTAGTATCTGTCCAATAAATCTGTAATGTGACACAGCTTTGGTCAAAAGGTAGTTTCTAGTATAAAGCCTCGTCGACATAATAATAATAACGATACATTGTCAAAACTGAAAGCATGGTTTCCATATTGCATTCGCTCTGTATCCTTTAAATAACAAATAAGCGCAACAATGTCAGCATAGCAACTTCGTTCTTCACAATTCTGGGTACCTTGATAACAATATTATTGGGATTATCTTTTTTCCGTTCAAACATGTCTTCGGGAGCTTTTCGACCATCGGCACATGGTCTCGCACGAACATAAACCTGCAAAGCTTGGTAAGAATTACGATGAGAACGATCATAGCCATCACTGTCACCTTGACGTTTGCGTTCCCAAGCAGTCGTGTGTAGTCAGTCGTGACTTTGTGATCCATTGCAACGCCGTCAATCGTCTCAAAAGGAAATTCAAGGAAGAGATTCTTCGATCAGTAACGATCAAAATCTATTTATTTCGAGCAGTGGCAGCCACAGTTCGTAACTGTGACTTATGTCCTAACGACGTTTATCAGCAATCCACTACGCTACCTATCACAAAAATTGCATTTGTTGGTCATAATATCCTTCCCATTATAGTAATACTTTGGATATCAACGACTTATTTACTGACGACCATCTGTCAAGTCTAAAGACTTTGACAACTCCACAGTTGGAGTAATGCAACCATACGAAATCATAAAGGACAGTAAAATGGCTGATAGTATCGCTCTTGAAAACGTCATCGGTAGAAATACGAGACAGCCTTGCATTTGGTGACTAGACTATGAAGCAGATTTTACTTCTGCAGCCGTGTAAACTATCTACATTGCACATAGTCGTGATGACGCGATAATGCTCGAAATGATACTGCAATCTAGCAAAAGTCTTTGATCACATTGTAATCTACTTCAATCCTCTATTTATTTCCTATTGCTCTAAGTACAAAGATATCGGGTCGAAATGCGTCCCGTGAATTTATATACTCGTATGACGCTTTACATACCGTGTCATGAGTAAAGCAATTTAATTGTCAAAAACAAGAGTAGTATCTGCTTTGTCCGGCAGAATTGGTGTTTATCATGACGACTTGCCTTATTAATGTTTTAGGTGAACGAAAGGACATTGTATACTTTGGAGATGCTCCGAGTCAGAATTTTCAAAATGGTGACTGCACTTCAATTTTAAGACGGATCAAAGCATGTGCTTATTGGTTATATGTGTTACAGTTGAACATCATCTTAACTGCTGCGTGAAACTCAATAGACACGACGATAAGCACAATAAAGGTAAGATTTATATTGTGTATACATTAAATAAACAAGATAAATAAAATAAGGACTCAGAAATTGACAAAGAGTGTTAAACTTTATAAAGCAAGCAAAACCAGCCCGCGATCAGACCATCTTCGCGTTATGCAGTATATTGAGCGTCTGCTGTATCCCATATACACAAAATCCATACATGTAACAGAGCAGGTCTTTTTATACGGAATTCATACATTAAAGTTCCGATTGCAGGTCACAACTACTTTGATGTATATGAAAAAGAACACAGAGGCTCGCTATCAATTTGTTGGGGAGGTACTATGAAGATATTGATTTGTTCATTCCATGTCCTTCGTGAAAGTCATCCCTTTGTTCTCATTTCTTTGACGTATATGTACTGCGTGGGATACTAAATGGTCGACTTATAATCATAATCATCCACTATATCTCGAGCCTTGTATATAATATTCAAAAGAGTCATGGGTTGAATCTTGCAATAGTTGAATCTGGCGACTTTTGTCACTTCTAACAATAAACCCTAAACATTAGTAGCGACATCATTCACATATGTCTTTTCTTGATAAAAGAATGCGTTAATAAAATCAAGTTTGTTTGCACACTTCGTAATCAGGACAATAAAAGTATTGGCGCGAGCAATCAGAAAGGAGATACTTCAAACAGGAGTTCATTTGTATCTCTGTGCGTACTCATATATTAGCTAATCAAAATGTTTTGATCCTCATGAATATAAAAGATCGCAGTGATACTGTAATTGACGATATTTGTAATCAATATTTGGTACCATACACTCAAGTTGAACAATTTATGCAGCTACATATCTTCATCAGAGTTATATTGAACAAAAGAAACAAAATCAAGTCATTTCAGTCGTAAAGATGTGGTGGCTTCATTTGCTCGATTGAAGGCTCGATCGCCGAGTGCATAATGTGCCGAGTGCATAACATATACAATGGCTTCAAACAGAAGATACTACGACATTTTACTATAGTCGAGGCAATAAATTTTCTATACTGACTGCCCCAAATATGAAAAAGTATTGAAAACTTACTCTTTCAATAGTAGTCGATTGTTCTAGGTCTTTACTTATATTACAGGACTGTATCTTACTTAGTAATAGCATCACAAATCTTTCTGAAATATCAGTAGTAATATTTCTTGCAATACAAGCCACAAGCTACTTCTTCGAATTCTCAAGACGATTCACTTGTGCTATGATGACGCTCATTACCCGTAGAAAATTGTGGCTGAGAATGTGTAGCTCACAATCCAGTGCTAATAGTCTATGACGAGTACAGCAACTTCGGCGATTAAAAAAATCAGAGATGGAGCACATCACATGATTACGCCCATATACAGACAGACTTACTTTAGCCAGTGATTACGTCTGTAAGTCCTGATAATGGAGCCTAAACCTCAAAGCACACTAAAGAAAAGACCGAGTGTGATACACATATCCTCGTTCCACTAAGTGACATCGTTCAAGTTGCTTTACTATGATGTTTCTTCGCATTCTTCTTGTCGCTTCTATTGTCATGCTCGTCGACTTGACTACAACTTTCACACCAATAGCTTCTCACTTCGTCGCATCTTCTTCAGCTATGGCCTCGACGGATACGGTGCAGACGGCCGGGTCGACTAGGAGATTTCTACGATCGTCCAACATGACTGCAAAGAGTCAGCATAAATCCTCTGAGTCTCGTCATGAGGAAAGAGATGGGCTTATTCGAACTGTGGGATCCTACCTAAATAAAATCTTCGGCTTCCGACATCGTAATCTTGACGAGATTTTAGCGGATTACCCGCTTGTCTATCGCAGTTTTATTCTCATTCCAGAGCACAATGTAAAGCACTTCATGTACAATTATGGCTTCAAAACAAACAAAGATGTGAACAAACATAAAAAATGCTTTCCGCTCTGCTATTGAGTCGCATGAGGCATTTTATCCAAACTGAAGAGCTGCCAAAATATTTGAAGAAACGTGGAATGGAGTTGGTGAACGAAATTGTCGGAAATCGCCTTGCCAGGAAATATTTTGCCCCCTACATTAACGGCGAACTAAACAGTGAAAATTTTCAGAAGACAATGCTAGAAAAACATCCTTTTTTGGCGAAAGAAACCAGAGAAAAAGCCGAGAAACTGCTTGATAGGGCTAGTCGGTTCTTGGGCAGTTATCTTAAACAACACTTTTACGCAAATGCCGGAGATTAGAAATCTTTTCACCTTTTAATGTGATTCATTTTGCTTGTTTTGTGTTTGTCAAAGGTGGTAACACTACTACCTGTTGCTCTTCAATGTGATTCTCGCACTGGTTTACGTCTTCATCATCAATTCAGACATAGCTCATAGTACGTCCTCTGTGTCGTTCACATTGCATCACCTTCGACAAACTGAACGTAGCAGCATAAAGAGCAGCACGAAAAACCTAAATAGAATGTGTCGATCAATATTTCGAAGCTTGATGCCGTGGCTGACGATTGCGAGGGCAGAGGGTATGGATGTGATAGATTAGAATGCGAAGGGGCGCTAGATAATAGACATCAAGGAGCTTACAGCCTTGGCTCATTAATTCAATGCTCTTGCTTATCCATGATGGTACTGTGAGATTTTTGTAACGCGTGGAGACTAAAATTCATTTCACAATATCATTCCGATCCATCAGCCTTTGCTCATGTGCCACAAAGTCTGTTGCCTTTCTGGCTGTAAATTGCGGAGATTTCCAGTCGTTTCAAGACCTTAGGCCGAGACTTTTACTGGTACTACTACCAAAAACAATGTGCAAAGTGAGCATAGGGTACAGTTGGTTGCAGATAGTGTATTTTCAAGCTGATGTCAACATCAACGTGATGGTCTTGGCACGCTTGGTTTAAAGAATGTGAAATATACGCGTTCGCATTGTCAATTCATCCCGTTCACCTCCATTTTAGTAAATATCTTTGCTGGTCGATTCGGTCTTGGTCATTTTAGACTCGCCCGACAGTTCATGCATTGCTAAACGCGAATGTGTTCTATACAATTGTTGACATATTACATCAATTACATGTGCCTTGAAGAGTGCAATGAAGATTGAGAAGCCACAGTAATGCCAAGTGATGCTCCTGAGGAGGTTGCAAGGCGTGCTCACTGATTGCCGGGTTCAGCAGGTCTGTAATTGAATGAGGTGTTTACTTGAAAAACGACAAGATGATGATTGAAAGCCATTACGGTTTAAGGATATTTCCGGTATGCCTTGGGGCCCTGCTTAAAGACTGTCTTCAAGTGGAATTATTAAAAAATGTGATGTAGATAGCGAATCAAGTCAGAAAGCACAGAACGACAACAAACGTAAGTCATTTGCCACCTTAATGGTCTCTTGGAACGTACGAAGGAATTTCAGACAAATTCATTAAGTGCTATCAGCTTGAGAAGAGCAAAAGTTTGGTGCAGAATCCTATCACCTCGAGACGTAGTGTCGCATTTCACCGGCGTTCATAACCATGCTGTCAAAACCAAACTTGTCGGCTGAACGGTCAATATTCACAAGCTGTTTTTACAAAGTCTATCGTCTTTGAAGTCTGCCCTTGCTTTCGTTCATCAATGCCGTCCTTATCGTCATTTCGGCATCCACAGACAAGCCCAAAAAAGAACTAATCTTAGCGGTTTATCCACCTATCATTTTTCGTGAAATTTGCTATGAAATGTTGGTAATTTAGTCGCAGATTCGCTCAACAGGATCAAAAGCAAGCTAAACGACCTGATACTCTATTCACGGGTACCAAATTATTTCTAAATCACGCAGGCCAGAGCCAGCAGCAGATTAGAAAATTGCACTAAACTATAGACGATTAAGTCTCTGCAGAATCCTTAGAGGCAACACGATTGAATTGTTTACAACGTATATTGTAATCGTATCTGGTCACTGCCACACTGCATTGATTAGCATCCCCTATCATATTCATGAAGATCTGTATATTGAATCACTGCACTGGTGAAAATACCCAGATATTCTCCATGGATTCTTCAGTGCTAATTCTAATAGCCAAAGGATTCTTCTGTGCCAGGCTCATGGCAACTTTTGGTGGCACTTGTCGTCAATCCGACGACTTAATCTGGAAGCGACTGTACCCCATGTGCTAACATATTTTACCAGGCCTGACCACGCAATCTAAAAAAAAATTTTTTTAGATGATCAGAGGATATAGGAACACTGGTGGTCGAAAGCCCGGAATCGTTTCTGCTCGCCTGGAGGCTTACGATGATGTTTTAGCAAAGCTATTCTGGTAAACATTGCATTTGTTTGACATGAAAAGTAAAATAGCCATCGACTCGGCACTGCTCTAATACGATGACAGCACATTCTTCGAGCTAGGAAGTTGCGTACGCGATTGAACACTTACGTTGCAGTCCCATACAAAGTAAGCATTTCCTAATTGAGAAATACTCAGGTACCAGAAGCTGCGAGATTTTACGCCATCTAATCAGACGTACATCGTGTGCTCTCCTTCGCATCACCCTTAACGAGGTCAAAGAAGCTTTTGTACTAAATTTGAAGAATATATTCCCGATATGTCGGCGAATCATTTTTCAGGCTCACCGTATCTATGAAGGTTCAAGTGCTCTCATCCTTGTTAGAAAAGAGCAGTCAATTATATGCTTCTGGTAGGTAGGTTGGGCCCAGGAGGTGGAGGCTATATGAGTGCGCCGGAGGTGATAAACCTTGGCGTATCTGAACATCAGGAGGGCGATCACACGGTTGCAGGGCAGCGTCGCGGGCCCACGAGTGTAACTTCTTCAAGAACATTAAGCATTTACATTATGTGTCCCTTTTGTTTCGGTCGAAAATTCCAAAGGATCGAGCTGAGCACGTAAAGCCGATTTTGAGTCGTCTTGCGGGAGGTTGAATATTAAGTTTCAATTGGTGCATGGAGGTTTGCTGAGAAATATTTTGCTCCATTGGAATTCGAGGGCAATTAGTTCCGGCTACACACACTGACTATGGCGGTCACTGACATCATCATACCGGGATATGAGAGGCCATGAAAGATCATGATATATTTAATGACGTTAAGCAATGATGTGCTGCTGTCTAAAATAGTGAGAGATATTCGAAGGCCTTTTGCGTGCAGCGTCTTTCACCGTGAACCCATGTTCAGACTTCGATGTACCGTTGTACATATCGGTAAAGTTTCTCAGCCTTGACAGCGTAAGATGTTGTGTTGACTTTAAGCTGGTTCCAGTTTATGAGATGATCACATGAGCCATATTTAAGCTGGTGTGCCGCGCACGACTCGTCGTGCGGTGCGTTATTGAGTCACTATCCCGCTTCTGTTAAAAAAGCACTATTGGTACCGGCAAAGCTGCGGCAGCATTATTGTAGGAAATAGTTTTGTTTAGATAGTAAGACAACGGCGGTTGCGCGCCTCAATCTTCATAAATATCCTCTGTAGATACGAGTTAGGCAGTCTTGAGCAAAAATCCTGGCTGGGACGAAATTAGCAAATTTATACCGTTACCACCACCGATTTTTTGAGTTATATCGAATATGGACTGCTTTCTGATGACTATTCCAGTGTTAAGACCGAAGAAAGCGCATGTATGACGCGGTCTATATAGCAGAGCCCTGTGTGGTCAAGCGATTGTAAGTCGCGATGAGTGGGCCAGGATCTTTTCTCAAGAAGGATGGCCTATCTTACCGATGTGACGGGTACATTCACGAAAGCAACATTGAGAAGGTAATCTGCGGGCATAGGTCCAAGTCTCTCTCCAAGGTGGCAGCAATAAAAGTTTGTAGATGGAGGGACTTGGCTTTCCGGAATAATGTTAGTCTCTCATGTTTACCCAGGTAAAACTCCTGTCGAATTTTCTTAAATTTATCTAAGCAATTGTAACATGGCCAAGGTAAAAATTCAGCTTCCTGTTTTAAGAGTCGCAACTACTGTTGTTTAGTGGCTAAGTCGGTTCTGATAGTACCGAAGGAGAAGCTCGACGTCAGTCATGACTGAGTCTGTCATTTAAGATAGGCAAATTCTCTGGGTGTGAAGATTAAAGCGGCTACCTTTAGAAATGTTATTGATTCAAGTCATTCGCCATGAGCTCTGCTTCTGATTCGAATCATAAAATTGGCCTGGCTTCGGGACCAAGCGTTGGATTAGATTATAACGACTGTTACAAAGGGAGATGTGTGCCGTTGTTGACGCTTTCTTCATTCCGAAGCATGAAAGAAAGCTTAAAAAGAAAGGAATTCCTTATTTTGGCCGTTTGCTTCAAGAACGCCAATGGCAATCGGCATATGCATGCTTTCATTTTTAATGCGGTCAGAGCTTCGGTAGAACGCTAACTCTTAGAAAAGATGTGTAGAAAGATTGCAAAGTTAAATTTTATCGATATCGCGGTCTCGGCTCGGTCAATGGGCAATATAGACCATCCTTGTGGTATAAGAACATTTAGAGCCTTAAACAGGTCTCCTGTGAGCGGACTGTTCTACCCAAGGAGCTGCTTAACGTGCGAGCGAGGTAGATGATAAGGGCGAGCAAGGCAGATGATAAACCTGCGTCGTGCTAACACACAAACCTAATTTGACGATTAGTTTGTTTGTTGATGTACAGAACACAGGAATTCAGATGAAGACATAGTTACGAGCTGTTCTGGAGTGTATCCGATCGAATATGTCACTTGCCAATGTAGATAAACAGGCGTATAGCGCTGACAGAATGTCTCGCAAAGAAGCTATTTAGCTTTGAACGATTCCTAACGGTGCTCTGATCGTCTTGCAAGCTTGCATTAATAAAGAGATAGGAGCAGAAGCCGTAACACTCATGGTTTCACGAAAATACTCTTTATAACTGTATTAAGTCATCGAGCATATCCCGCAAAGCCCATATTCATAGTGATGTGGTTAGGCCACATTTCCGAACTGCCTACAGGCGTGGTTTGACTCGGTCAATCATCTACACATAAAGATGAGGGTGGTGCCAAATGGCAAGGTCTTTAGTTAATCCCTTAAAAGGATATCAAATGGTTTCGAATACTGCAGAAGCGCCTCGTCGGTTAATGTGATGTAGGACGCATTTTCGGGTCGCTCAGATTTAAAGCGGTTTCTCAAATTGGTGATATTGTGGTATTGAAAGCTATGTTAGGGAAGCAGAACGTTTTTGAGCTCGAAAATCGCTTTATTTAAGTATAATCAAAGGCATACTTTGCCATACGGTCTCTCTATCAATGCACGAAACCGAAGGTGTTGTCGTACCTCATTCCAATAAAGAATCTCGTATGAGGCACACGATTCTCCTCTCTACGAACGTCTCAGTCGAGAAAAGTTGTACAGCTCAGCGAGCGCTTAGCACGGGTAGTTAAAATGTGACAAATGCTTCAGTGCCTTTTATACTCCTGCTTATAAGCAGTGTGCTGACAGTCCAACTGTATGGAATTTTTAGTGGTACTCATGTTAACGTAACATGACTTGTTTCGCTGCTGTCAGCTACATCGCCACTAATGAAGATACATCCGGGCTGTTTATTGACTATATACTACGGCATAATTTGCTTTTGGCGATTGCCATACACCTTGACAATCATTTTGCAGCAAGATATGCTTAATTGTTTTTCAAAGTATTTGCTACGATCAACCAGAAACATGCATTGCGTCATAACGGGTATTTCCTCAATGCGTGTAGCGATATACTCTCATGCTCACATTCATTGAGCTCCTGCCTCCATAAATATTTATCCATGTTTCGAAGTTGGCACAAGAAACCTTCCTACAATCCCTGGTGCCTCTACGACGTGGTTCAGGCCTTGATCGGTGAAGAGTTGATGAAAGTGATCAACTTGTTGAACTTTGCTCAACTACAAATTTGATAAACTATCTTAAAGCAATCGAACGTGATGCAAAAAGTTAAAAGCAGCCTTTATGGAGACGATGCAGGTGATAAGGCTTTACTCTTCGCGCTTTGACTGCGTACGCTCGTCTTATCTGCAGTATGAGCGAAATTGCGCCTTTGGTACCTTTAACGGTTTACGGCTGTAGCCAAAAAGAAATTGAGCTGCACACTTGGCCTCTCTATGCAGTTGCGGAACATCATTGTGTTTGCGTGAGCTGTGTAGTAATGCCGCTCTTCTGAACCTCCTGACACGATAATACTTCCCAAGGATATCGTGCAGCGTGTAAAGTTCCCCGATTGTAAGACACCCGGCCTTGCTTTAAAGTTGAGCTTTGGTTGTTAGCTGTATCATCATAAACATTGGTACAAGCACGGTTGATAATAGTCTGAACCATAGGTCGGAATGAGTCGTCGATCTCGCGCTTTCAACTTCACAACCCAACGTAAGGTGCTAATCTGGACGTCTGATTTTAAAATGTTGGTTTTAAGTTACAAGATGTGTAGGTTGAAGAGCCCTTTTACTCAATGCTCGAATTTATTTAAATATATTTCGGTGCTGTAATCAAGCCATAGTACAAGAGGTACCGCCTCATAGAAGGTATTCACAAGGATGACCGCTAAAATGCCGTGATATGGTAAGACTTGTAAATCCATAAAGGGCTCGCAGAGCGAGTCTCGCGGAAGGGTCTTGACCTCAGTCCGAGCTGCAGATGCAAACTGTAAGGTCTGCGTCGCGCCGCGTCAATCGGCTTCCGATTGATCGGGTCGCTTCTGTCCATAAGCACAGCAAGATATAGTCGCTAGCGGCCATATTGAAGGTTGCTGTAACCTATGTGCTCTTGAACAGCAAATTAAGCTGTGTGAGCCTTGATCTGGTTAGTTTGTAGCGAAAGCAACTTCATCGTCAGTTCTGATTTGAGGAGATATACCACTATCTCACCAATAGAGTCATGCATTCTCTCGCGAAAAGAAGTGCGAACGCTCAAACTTCGATTAGTTTTGAGTAAATATACGGCGGTTAAGCAGTGAGACCATCGGAGAAGTCGCATATGGTCCGTTCGCCACATAACTTTCCAAATCAAAGAGCCCCGACTTCTTCATTCGTTCGATTAGGCGGTGTTTCGTCAAACCATGGGTATGAGCACAAGCACAGCTGAAAGAGATACTCCTGGCGTGGTTTCTACTCGTCGAGAATAAGCTAAATAGTATTTGTTTGTTGGAAGTCGTTTGACCCAAATCAATCACGATTTCTTGGTGGAGGGGTACACAACAATATAAGAAATTCTTTCACAAATAAAGCAGAGCTCAAAGGTACCATTGGAAACTACTATGACCAGTATATGGTGCGAAATCAGAGTGAGAGGACCGTGGGTCGCGTGGACTACTATTCTTATGCAATCAATGATTATATCGACATATATGAATTCTTTAAAACGCGCCCCGATGTTAAATTTGTTCTAAGAGAAGTGTAAAGTACTTGGACTTTATTATGATCGGAATTTTGCGTATTCGGGATTAATTTTCTGCGCGTTTTCTTATTCGACCTCCTTAGTCAAATGCTTCCTCTGCTGACGAGGCCACATCTACTAAGTTGTACTTGGTAGCACTCGTTGTCGATTCGATGACTCAGACTTACTACGTTTTCTGTGTGAATGCGACATGATGTGTAATTACCTGATTCTGGCCCGACAAGACGTGCCTTCATAATTCTGATGATCTCTGCGGCGGCATAGGTCTAAGGCCAGGGAGCAATAGCTGCTTGCCTGTAGACGTTCACCAGCCACTATAACACACCTGAAAAAAGACTCAGTTAGAACCAAGGAGAAGCGCCACTTACTCTCTAAAAGATCTACAAACCGAGACCGTTTCTGTTCTGCTCTAAAACTCCGATGATAAAGGTGGAAAAGATTCTCTTCTCGGGACACGATATCGGAAACTTCGATTCTTGTCCACGGTATTTCTCTTACTACAAACCGGCAAAAGTATGTCGCGATATCACGCTCTTAGCGTGGAGGTCGCGCGCGAGAATAGGTATATAGTGCGGCAAGTCGATAAAGGTGGTATTTCCATCTTGGGTTTTGACAAATGAACGTTGTCACGATTCTTTTTCGCTGCATGATAAGGCAGACCTCATCCAAACTTGTTACTTCCTCCCGCCAAGGCAAGTACTAACTATTGGATTATGAAAACTTTGTTAGCCGAATCACGGCTGATTATATCAAGTCAAACATTCATGGAGGGTTTTCACGTGAACGGCACGGATCTATTCTTTCTGTGTACACACTAGTCCTTCTCCATAAGCGGTGATAATACAGCTTCAAACTTACAAGGTCAAGCTGGAGTGCGGAGGTAGGGGACTTTAGCGCGCCAAAGACTGAGAGTTATGAAAGCGGAACATGAAGAGAGTGATCTGTCGGCTTTCAAACGGCGCTTTGATGTCTCAGGTATTACATCGATGGAAGTACTAAGCACTTAGGCCTGCACGAATTCACACGAAACAGAAGGAAAGCAAGCCTTCAAGTAGAGCCGCTGGGCAGACACTTTTTGGACTAATTTTAATCGACGCAGGGCATAAACTAAGCTCTGGTAAATTGACCACGTCTTTCTCTTGATGGATGATAGAAATTTAGCCAACTAAGCATAACACAAAGTTCAGTTTTTAAATTTAGCGGCTCTATGACGTACTAGGTTATTAAGAGGAGTCAGCCTCGCTTCTGGAGAACCCTTTGACATAACTTTATGTGCATCAAATAGTTTGACTCCACGACTCCAAAATCTTCTTTCTGTAAAGCATCACAGTGAATCTTTAAGTACTTTTGATACAGCAACGTGACCTACGACATTCTTGCGCATCCGCGTTACTACGCCATGCGAGTGGACTCTATTGTAAGTAACCTTATCAAGCTTTTATATAAACAGATGGATACTATGGAGCTACTTGATGAGAAGTCATGTGCTGAATACGTGAAACAGCAATTATAAATGTATATCCTGATGTTGACATCATTATTAAAGTGTAAGAGTCGTTATTAAATTCCAAGGAAATCTATTGGGTCGCTACAATCAAAAAATTCAAGTAATATAATCAGCACAACAAGCTAAAAAAATTGTAAATTTAAGATGATATTTGATAGTTGGATCCGCCCAAGACGATATTTATGGGTAGAAGCCACTGATGATGAAGAATAGAAGTTTATGACATTTGCAAACATCATCTTCAAGCTAATAACCAACTGCTACTGAAGCATAAAGGTAAACTCTGTACATCCAGTAAAGTTTACGACATAACGTTTGCCGAACAGCACACCGCAAGCTGTTTCTATGAGGCTCAAGATGCAGGAATTTCTCAAGAGGGGTCCTTCCAATCTGCAGTTGCCACACAAAACGCACTCTATATCTAGAAAAAGAGGCGAAACGGTAGCACGCACAATCTACATGGTAGTATTTACAAGTCAAGACGACAAGTTCAAATTGAAAGTACAAGAGAACCGAACAACGATGGTGGCAGCAAGGGATGGATGGTCTTTTTTTTAATCCATCTCCTCTTCTGTTGCGACTTTTTAATAGGTCCCTTCTATACTTTAATGAAGCTTGAAAATCTGATGGTGATAAGAAACGGTTTACGGTGCAGATGTTGCCCATTATTAGCTACAGAAAGTCGGTCCAGTTCAACATTCACCTCAAATATCCGGTTTTATACTCTAATTAAAGGGATAAAACCGAGCGATATATCACAATAATAGTACATGACCATCCAGGTCATCGCCTCTTTTTAGGATACATCACGTACTGTACAAGGACAGGTTCTGAGCTCCTGAGCGCCAATTAATGGCTGCTTAAAAGACTGGCGTAGCCACCTCCATATACTTCTGCAATACGAAAAGACGTCGTTTCATGTCGCGGCTGTGGATCCACGTTTCTTCCTCGCAAGGCTCTTTGAAATCGCAAGGAAGGAAGTGCAAGCTAAAACAAGTAGGTCGTTTCGAAGAAGTAGGACGTAAATTACTAGAATCAAAACTTAGTAGTGCAGTGTATGATATAATTTATATGATGGTGCTAAATAAGTGGGGCCTTCTCTCTGCTTCACCATCCTTTCTCTAATAGTCTATGATGTTCGGGGGTATTTCGATGCAGCAATCATCAATACGCGAGGAAGGGGCATGGTAGTAGCCCTTGCAACGTGCGTCCATGACTTGTACATTGTATTCTCTGTATCGTATGACGCAGCTCTAACAACCGTCTCCCTGTGTTTCTCTTCTTTATTGTACATCCATCGTAGTAGCGTACGCAAACCACGTGTCGGTTTATCATTCTTCACTCTCATCACATCGCTAAACAAGCTTGTGGACTTCACTTAGCTGCTGAGAGTGGTGGTGACGTGTGTGCACCATGTTGTTCACGGTCCTTTCGAATCCAAGCGCTTTTCAGCAAGTCAATTTCAAGGTTTGTCTGCCATTGTTTCTTCATAGCTGCATGGTCTTCAGCAGGTGCAATTTCCACGGTGTGTGCAGACTTGGGCATAATTCGGTTGTTCTTGTAAAGGGACTCTGGGTTGTAGATGGCAAATTGCGATGTGAGCTGGCAAACAGTAGGAAAGTTGAGGCAGACGCGTCGCCCGCTAACCACCAGCCGCGTCGTCCCATCGTCATAAACGTCCACACGTCAGACGGTGCGCACCTTCTAGCCCCAATCCAGATGGAGTTCAGGCTCTGAATAAAATGAGGTGCTCAAAACGCTAAAAGGAGTGGGCAATGGCGACATTTACATACGTGCGTGGGTTCGTTGGTGGATGCTACTGGCTAATAGAGGGAGACGTGAAGGTTAGTGACCTAATTATTCGGTTTAGTACTTAATTCTTGACCCCCTCATGAAACGGGGTCAATTCTTTTCTTTGTGTGACTTCTCGCAAATAGATTGATTCAAACTGATTTTCTCATTGCACTTAGGATATATGGAGGGTAGTACTTTGCGTCAAATAACAAAGTTGAGGATTACAGGTAACGTCGGTCAAGACAAGTAAATTGTAGAGAAATGAAGAGCTCGCAAACGAGTAGCGTAGCGTCTCTTGACGTAATTGCTTACGAACGACAGGAGCCGCACGCATTCAAATTTACAGCGACACTCCTTATTTGATGGAATAAAATTGACCTTGTATCCTAAAGTATAGCAATAGTAAGTGGAACCGGCAGATAGTCTGCACTTATTGGCCCTTACTTCTCGAATATTTCTTATTGCGACATTCAAAAGACAAATTTTCGAAAGTGATTTGCTGCGCTCATGCTGGGAATGCAGATGGTATGTCGTTTTAGATCCTGCAACAGTAGATATACAGTGACGTCAGGTTTAAAAGTACGTCAAGCCCATCTGCTACTGTCGTTGTAGCATGAGGTAAAACTCATCGAAAAGGTACAGAAACAGATGCGATTGATATGGTGCCTTTCAAAATTTTGACGTTTAGCTACTGCTCTACGTGGTAAAGAACTAAATTTTAGATTGTTGTTTAAACGTTTAAGTGAGACAGCCCAGCCAACGAGAACCTACATCGCAAGAAGCACGGCGGAACTTACAATAGGTCGACGCACCGCAATGGATAATATGGCTATTCTAGATCCACAAGACTCTTTGTGCACCTATCAAATGATTAGACTAGGTATGGTGGATTCCTAGTAGTTACGCAAGGTAAGGTGACTTTAGTGTCTCAAATATGGAAAATTTAGTCCAAGTCCTTCATGAGCGTAGCACGCCATGCATCATGTGCTGTGCGATACCTTTTTCACTCGTTTTCATGTATTTCTTTAAGAAAAATTAAATAATTTCGTTCGCTTGAGCTTTAGCGAAAGAAATCGTTCAGCCGCAAACAGCTACAAATACTAAAATAGCAATTGGAGCCAGGTTGGCGACATGTTAATGCGTGCGATACTATCCCAAGAAAGCAGCAATTACACAAGACATTCGTCAAAGAGTCTCTTTGCATAGACAATAATCGTAGAAATTCTATCATAGCCCAATTGTCAAACAGATTCTATCGATATTACACTTCATACGATCGCAATGACCAAGCTCAGAACCTCGCAAGATGAGCAGAAACCAATTGCCGAGCCCAGCTGTCACCATCAGCTGTACCACAAACAGGTATTTTACAACACAAACATTTTCGCATTGCCTTTCCAGTTTGCTTCAGTACAGTACATGGACATTATAACAATGGCACACTTCTCGTCCATATATTTTCTCAACGTCGCGACCACAAATTGCTATTTTTATTGTTAAGGTTATAATTGCACTCACCTTATCTCCAAGAATTAGGTGATTACAATAAGCCAAACATAATTTGAACCAATCATTGATGAAACGCAGATTTCAACCGTAGTGCTTGACAACCACACATTCTCGAAAACTTTCGACCTGTTGTGCGTCGAAACGTCATCTGAATAAGGCGCATGTGAATGCCAAATTTGGAGATAAGCTCAAGACTGGCTCGTTGCTCAGTATAAAGCGGCCTGCCGAGAAAGTAACGGCAGACTGCGCGTGCTACCAGTCGTATACGAGAATCTCCTTGACAGAAAGATACAGTCATTAATGATGAGAAACGATTTAAGTGAGATGTTAGGTAGTATTGGGAGCGCAGTTGATGAGTAAACAGCAACTGCTTAGACAAAACGCTCCCAGTCCATCAAAGACCCAAATACGCGACAGCCAGCCTCATTATAGTGCATAGTCTATATAATGTATTACTGCTGCATCTGACTTTCGCCCCGACTCGATACCGTTCAATGACATGAAAAATACCACTTGCACGGCGCAGTGACAAAAGAGTGAGCGCGTACTTACACATATGTAAACAGCGGCAACACGTTTGACAATTTAAAGCTATTTGCCCACCGCATGTATCTGCGTGCCAGCCGACTGGTCACGACAGAGCATCGACAATCGCTCTGCACCAGGACAGCTACGGCATACCGGTATTGTGTTATTGCAGCAGAATGTTTTGTCTTGTTAGCGTCGTGAAGATACAACCAAGCTGTTTCTCGACAGTCATCAATTTCCTGTGAGAGTTGACTCAGATCGATACCCGCGGTTCTAACCAACGTAAGGTAGGCATTGTTCACGATCGATACATTATGTACAAATGAAGTCGTTCCACAGCCCGAAGGAATTAACTGAACACGATAACGTGTTGGAGATTATACTTGTGAAACACATGCCGCGAAGAGATCGCAAGGCTAAAGCGACGTGCTCCGAATAATTGTTTTTGAAATGAACAGCGCAGCTCGTTGCTTTAATGGCTTCAATGTTATTTCTCACATCTCCGTGGCACCTTCACGGATCAGTTCCAGTCATTGTTTTGACACTGACTGACTTGATCTCAAAACGTTGCACTCAATCTATTAAACGGACATCTGCAACTTCGAAGCAAATATAATCATTTTTTGCCAAGTGCACAATGACATGCAGCTAAGTATGCATTCTCTCTTGATCCCACTAAGCGTTTTCAAGCATATCTGGCTTTGCTTAAGTTCTTCGCTCAAATTTAGACCGGTCGCGAAGCGTGTTGCTAACAAAGTGACGCATTGATCAACCCCGGTGGCTAAACTCCCTTATGCTATTCAATTTTTGGCTACTCGGGTTGCTTTGAGCTGATCGATACGATTGTAAATCTTCTAAGACCACCGCGCGCCGACTCGTCTTGATGCGAGACAAAGTCTGCGACTATGTAAAAAGCTTGGACTTGCCAGGGTCATAGCCATTATCTAACTATAAAATAGGGTAGCTGGTGGTGCGGCGCGGCGAACTCCCCAAAAAAGTGGTGCCCAGACGAAGTTCAAGTTTGAGCTTGGTCGGGAGCTGTATGAGCAGACTCATAAATACGAGCGTGGCAAATCCGGTCAGCGTTGGCACCGCGTTTTGAGCTTGCAAAATAAAGTCAAGGAGGAGGACATCCATATATTGTCACTATTATTATTTGATTGTAAGGCCACAAGACTTATAATAATGAGGGGCTTTCGTCGATTAGGAATTGGATTGATGCATAAATACATTGGTACTGTCATCGGGCCGCGATACCATAATTCAGTCTTTATACCTGACTTTACAAAAGCAAGACTACTTCGGGGTATGACGTATGGGACCAGAGGCCACAGTTTTCAGATGGAGTTGTCGTCCAACACGTACAGCTTTTGAAGCAAGGTCTAGCTTGTACTGAACTCATCTTTAATCCCATGTCAGAAAATCTGACCGATCTTTGCTTTTAAAATGATTTTGCTCGACGACACGCGTGCACTTTGGTAACTCTCATGCCTCAAACAGATTTGAATAAATGAAGAGCCTTAAAATTGTGTAGCTTTTTGAGAGTAAGGGGAGTGAGTCATACAAGTCACTACTAAGGCTTTCATGACGTTGCCATGGGCGCCTCGTTCTTTCTGGCTGCTGTTCCAGCCATGTGCTTAGAGACGAAGTAAAAATAGGAATTTCCGGATAAAAACACCCAAATAGAGCTTTTAAAGGGGCGCTTTTGATTGAACAGGATCATTGTCACACAGGAAAGGATTGCAGCCCCGCTTGAAATCATACTTTGGTCAAGAAAGTATGATGAGGAACGTATTTGTTTTCACTATTGCCCTTCAAACTTAGCGCAAACCTCAAAGGTATACCATGGTGGAGGTCATACTATGATCCCATTCCGGATAAAAGGCACTGTGTGCTCATACACGGTAAAATTTATAGATATAGTTATTCAAACATGAGCGTTCTAGGATCAATTGTATTGCCAGCTTTAACCATTGATTCTATGGTCATGATGATAATGAAACAGCTGCTTTCTGCAATGATTATGATATGTACAATGATTGTATTACCTTGAAATCGAACAGATTTTGACATGAATTCGATGATCATAACATAACACAGCTGCGTTTAGAACGGGCATTACAGACTGCGCCAGACGCACCCAACACGCCATTGATGATATTCAAGCTATCGTTTTGGTCAGTTTGCGACTGTGAGTGACTAACTTCGTTTTTGTTAATGCCTCTGTGTGGAATAAATGTAACAATGAGCGCTGTTCCGCTGTTACTCCCAGTCCCGATTTCACTCGATACTGTTACTTTTTTTAGCGCTAAGGATTCGAATTAAAGGCCGGAACGAATACAGCAAGAAGCACTTAGCATTACTTTTGCCTCGCGCACCTCAGTAGAGGTGTTGCACCCTCTTGTAGATCAAAGCACGTGCACTTGAATTACGGAAGGATTGAATATGCAAGAAAATTGCACAGATCCATCCACAAAGTCACTTATGACCTCGATGAGAAGCAAGAGGCTGCACAATCAGTATATGGAAACTTTTATGGTATCTCACTACACAGTGACACGTTTGGACTAAGTGCTACCGCCTGATCGGTGAAGAGCATAGTACATATGCTAGCCGCAGCCGACTTGATGCTATGCGTATATTAATAGGTTATTACACAACGCATGGTGCCTAGGAACGTCACATAATCTTGAGAAATGTATAAATCAGCGAAGCAAAAGCTGCTAAGTGCGTGTTGTGTTTACCACACAAACGCTCATCAAGGACCTTTCAAGTCACCTCACAAACGCTCAAAATATCATTCAGATGCCGCTACCTTACATCTATAGAAGATTGCGATCAGGCCAAAAAGCAACCTTGACCAAAATATTTGCTCAGTGGGATCTTGGTTTGATTCTTTTACAGCAGTGAGCAAAAGGCACTTTCACTTGGAAATGCTTAGACCAAATCAAAGATCCAGCTCAAGAATTTAGGCTGCGTGTCTTTGAGTTGATACCACCAAAGCAGTAACAACGCGGTCAGCTCAATTCCGTAGCCTACTTCCTCGAGTGCGCCGCTTAAGCTCCCAGAAAAAATTGCCCTTGACCGAGCACATCGAGACCGACCTTACACATCACGTGGAATCTATGACTTAACTGATTACACTTCACTTCACGAGCCAACATTGCTTTCGACGAATCCCCTTCCACAAATCACACGCTCAACGCGAAATTGTTGTTCCCGCCAATACTATATATATATATATATAT